TATCAATCCCAAAATTGGGAAATTATTTTACAGCAGCAGTGTGTTCAGGTACTAAAAATATTTAAAAGTTGGAATAAAGTATAAACTACCCAACACAAGTATAATGCACAGCAGGGCCGTCCCTGGCCAACTTGGGGCCCCAAGCGACATTGTGAGATAAATAACCCAATTTGTGTTCTGTCAAACTGAAAAGGATATTATATTGTTTTTGTTACTTTCGTTGCAGCTGTAAATACGTCTTAAATGTAATTTAGGTTAACTTCCTGTGTTATTTAGATGCTTTTATTTTGAAGGCGAGTTTACGCTGTTGACAGGAAGTTGTTGTTGCTATGGAAACAACGTGACGGAGAAAAGGAGCGGAGATTAATCTACATATAAAGACGGAGAAAGTAAAGGATAAAGTTTGTGTTTAAGTTTATTTTTGTGTCTTTATACCCCTTTTCTTGATATTGGAGATTTCAATGAATTCCTATCATCAGTCAAGTCTTCGACCATTATTCGGAGGGAAATGCTACAACGAGGCTTGGCAATGGGCATTATTATATATTGTTATTATTGGCCAGGCCTAACTTAAAGTCATTTTTCCCCCTGGAAAAAAGCTGGCCCACCCTATTTTATACAGGCCCGCCCTAAAGTACATTTCTACGCTACAGGGTATAACTGCCTTTTTTAAATTTATATTTGAGTGTTGCATGTCTTTTAATAATGGACCAAGAGTCTCTTCAATAAAAGCTGATGATGATGATTAAATGTGATCTAGTGATTCACGTTCTCCACAGGATTTATTGTAATAACTTTTCTGATTCCCTTATACGCCATCTACTGCCACCATCAGGTAAAAATGTTACCGCTAAAAAACTGTAATGTAAATCAATTTCTCGATGTTTTTTTTAAACAAGATTTGGGTACAGGACTGCTTTGTTAAAATCTGACAAAAGTATAAATCCACAGGTTAATTCTCGCCTTTCAATCTGAAAACTAGGCTTCTCAAAATTGATCACGTAAGGACGTCTTCATTAACATTTTTGGACTATTCGGAACTTCAGGAAATAGTTTTTCATTTCCACAAAATGCTAAACTCACCCCATGTCTCCCACAGTGACCAAGTGTTGATTTCCTTGTATTCCTATTAGAGGATTTGGTACACACTCAGTTCTCTCCTGTGTAAACACAGCTCCTGCAGGCTGTTCAGATGTAATATTAATAGAATGAGTTGAACAGCAAGCAGTCTCAACAGCAAACCTTGACTCTCCCGCAGAGTTTGAATAAAAGAGGAATACAGGGGATCAGAGAGACCTGGGGTTTGTTTTTTCTGACTCATCTGAATGCCATTTCTGTGCAGTAGAGACAGCCTTCAGGTTCAGTGCCTTAAAGCCAAAGTGTGTGTGTACCTAAGGTAAATATGCAGTCTTCACTCTTTGCATGCTTTTGCATAAATGGAAAAAATAAATGAATTATTCTCAGTGACTGTTGCATCATCCTTCCATTTTCAATACGTAAATGCTTCCTGCAAAGCACTTTTCTCCATGTTTACCAAAATGTACTGAATCTAATCTTTTAGCTTTGGCAGACATGTGATTTATTTTCTCTGCTCTAACATACATCATGTCTATTCCCAAAATGGCATTCAAATGTTTCTAAAGTAGGCAGAGGGCAATCTTTTATCTTTGACACATTTGTTTTGTTTCAGGCTTGCACAGAATTGCGGTTCAGCTAAAGTGTAATGAGCAATAACAACAGGGGGAGGCCAACGGGGTAAAAATACTCATCTCCTTATAAATAAATTCTCATCTCATCTCACTACAGCCTGCACAATCTCCCTCACATTATAAAGGGTAATGGGAAATCATCCAACAGGGAATCATGTCAGCTCTTTTCAACACTTTCAATGAGTGATGTTTTCAAACACATAGGAGCTCAGGGTAACATTCAGACTCGTAAGAAAAGAAAATATCTAACGCTTCAAATGAATATGATCAACTCACAGGCTCTTCAGAAATGTTAGAGACAGGTTTCTTCAGTGAAGGTTTTGTTGATTGTGGTAGTAGATCAATAAAAGCAGGAGGTGGTGAGTAATGATCCGAAGCTCACGCAGGACTCCTAGGAACAACGATTCATCGATGAGAAGGTGAGTTACTGAGCAGAGCTACATCTCACCCTTCATCTTTCTCCTCTTTGGTCATTTCACTATTGAACAGATAAGGTGTGATGGATTCCTCAATAGGAATGAATAGATTCTTTTGAAAACAAATAGACTGTTTTTCTTACTGACTGCAATTAACTAAAGTAAAGCTGGAATAAAAGGTTATTATTACACAACTAGTGTTTTGAAAGTGGACTGAAACAGACTTAATTTATCTTTGAACGAGGAACTGTTCTAACAGTGACGTCACCCTGGAGTACATTTCTATATCACCAGTCTTAAATAATAATACATTTGATTTCTAAGGTGCTCAAAGACACTTTGCAGAGGCGATAGCTCCTTGAAAGTCTTTAAGTAACGTTTTATTCTTGTAATCAATTAATCTGGAGATTATCTTCCCATTAAAGCATTTTTAGTGTTTTGCAATTCAGTTTATGTTATAAAAAGCAGGACATCTAAATGTTGAAAGGCTCCGCACAGCTTCTGCCATTTTTGCATTCAAAATTACTTATGTTTGTTGTATTATAAATATAGTACGTTTTTATTGTCCTTTTTCTGTTGATCGACTATTCCTAGATTAGACTAGTTTTTACACACACACACACACACACACACACACACACACACACACACACACACACACACACACACACACACACTAATTAACACCTCTTGTATTTGCTCCACAGGGTTGGTGCTAACGACCGCTGCAGATTAATGGGCTGCACTGAGGCCGCTGCACACTGAATCACATGTTGCTAGGTACAAGAACGTATAAAAATGTAGGTAGGATTAAAATATCAGTTTCAACCTCAGACTGTACTCAGATTAACAAGATATGTTTGTAATGAAACTTATTTTTCTATCTTTAAAGTAAACCTTAAGACTAAGCTGAACATACAACATTCACCACAATGCAAACCATGCTGCAGATACAATTGAACATTTTAAAAAGATTTAGTTTGAAGTTAATGACTGCACACTCAGCCCATTAACATCTATATATTCAGGGATTTTTAGTGAATGTTGGCATGAGCGTCATGCTTTGTTCAGCACTACAAAGAGCTGGTGAAAAGATAA